TCATATCTGGAGACAAGGAACTAGATGCAGGTAGTCTTTGGGCAGGAGTAGGCAGGACAGGAGTTATACCAAAAACTTCTTGCAGCTTACTAGAAGCAGGAGTAGGTGAAGGGCTAACAGGTCTTCTCTTATGACCCCTTTTAAGACCAGGAGGAGAATGTTGGTGGGGAAGGGTATTAAGAGGTGTCTGGGGATTGGAGCCAAGGGTAGAGGGTAAAGGACTGCTACCATTCAGTGGAACTGAAATAGAGGTAGTCCTGTAGTGGGTTGGGTGAACAGGCATAATAGGCTCAAAAATGCGAAAATTGCTAAGTCCTTTCTGCAGTGGGCCAGAGTAGAGAGGGAGTATGCAGGGGTAGAGTACAGGGGTGGTACGGGGCAAGTGGCAACCAGAGGAAAATCAAAACAACAAGGAGGAACAAGGAAAGAAAACTAAGCACAGGATGTGAAAGAAAAGCTACTCAGCTAAAAATTGAACAGGTACCTCTGCTAGCTAAGAACAGTAGGCTGTCCAAATTTGAGAGCAGAAGCTCTCAAACTGACAGAGTTCTATGTTGAAGGGGGCTAATTCAGGGGTCAAAATAGGGGTAAAATCAGGATTTAGTGCCAAGATGGAGGTAAAAGGAGGAATAAAGTTCTAAAAATTGGTGAACAGGTTTAAAGTGGTTTATTGAACAAGAATCTCTGTGCAGGAAAAAAGAGGAGTGTTGGTTGTTGAGAAAATTTATGGGGGGGGTCTTGGTTGCTGTGGTTGTTTCTGCCGTGACGGTGGTAGAAGTGAGAGTAGCACCAGGTGATACTGGTGCGGAGGGGAGGTAGAAGGGGTAGGCTGAAGCACTACCACCTCAGTGATGATGGGGCCTGAAGGCATAGGCGGTAGGGTGCCAGCCAATGCTGGCAGTAGGGTGCTGGCCGATCGCAGAGGAGAGGAGAGGAAGAGGGCCAGGTAGTATAGATCCGGCCAAACAATATGGTAGGAGGCTGCAACTAGGGTCACAGAAGCAGGTCAGGCTACTCCCGATAGCCCCGAGGACAACCATCCCATCTGACTATCTAGTCATCAATAAGCCGCCAAAGTTGACCATGCTAATGCTAAGCAAGGTGAAGCAAAAGTAGGGTAGAGAGGATACAGACCTCATGATGAGGCCTCCAGGGTGAGGAGAGGACCCCTACCCAGCAGAGGCAAGATGTCAGATGAAGGAAGGAGTAGAAGAGAGGCCCCGATGGTCAGAAGAATGGAAAGAATCAGCCTGTACCCCCTGGCGGAGGGGTGCATAGCTACAGAAAAGTGGTGATAATTTTTCGGTGTTGAGTCATCCCCAATTAGGAAACATTTTTCAATAACTGGAGGTGTAGCGAAGAGGGAGGATTAAGTAAACTCCTAAGGGGCACCCCCCTTTATATAGATAAAGGAAACCTAACAACCCGTGACCCTCTGCTAGTCATGTGCAGCTACCACTTGCCCCTTTACTTCCATCTGTTTCCTTCACGCAAGCCAACCCCCCAATACTGCAAGACACCTGACCTATCTGATAGAAAGGAAAAACCTGTACAGCAACCCTGCTGCCCGGATCCTGGTGGGCGTGACAGGTGGTGGGGTCCAGGAGAAATCTAGAGTGAGCAATCTCAAGTTGTACAACTTTTTTAGGAGCCTGTAGCGGTGTATTTGGAGCTTTTACAGCAGGTTGCTTTTGATGTAGTTTATGTATATGCAGTGCACTTAGTGTGACTGGCTTCAAATACAGCCACTAGACAAAAGTCTTGGTGATAGCTTAGTCACCCATGGCTAAGCGAGGATAAAACACCCCCGTTTGAAATCACACCACACTCAAGCCTGCTTTCTTTACATTGCCCATCATAATAGTTCCTCCTAAAAAAGACAGCACTACAGCTCCAAGAGAGGACAAGTTCTGGGAGAGCCATGGTTGTAGGCCTTTTATTTGTCTTTTAAGTCATTTTCACCAGCGGCACCTTGGTTGATGTTCCTAGTAGACAGCTATTCTGTATCTATCTTTTCTTATCTACAGTTGACCATTTAGTGTTTTCTCACACAGGCATAGGTTTGTGGATCTTGAATCTTAAGCTTGTTGTCCTAACTGAGGTTTGATAGATATCTGTCAGCTTCATTAGAAATCTGTGAATGTTCATGCACTTTATGAAGGATGATGTGATAGAGGCTAAGTAGAGGTATATAAAGTACCTGTAGGATTTACAAATTTACAAGAGTGTATTCTTGATTAATTATTTGCCCTTTTACTAGTAACTTTAAGATTTAATCTCCCACAATATCATTGGGCTACGGTAGCTATTCAACTCATGCCATGCCGGAGCAGTGCTTTTTCAGTGCACAGACTTTGTCTCACCGGTAGCGATCACCAAGACTTTTGTCTAGTGACTGTACCTATTTTCTTTCTCGATATCTTGTATATTGGTTTTGTCTATTAATCTTAACAGTAGTAGGAGAACTTGTCTAAGTCTGGCTTTGTTATATTTTTGCTTATCACATACTTTAAGGGATAGTATTGGGTTTTACAGGGGTTTGTTCTGTATCTGCCATGGAATTCCCTATATAACTCTGGCAAAATTGCACATTTAAATGTGGGAAAAAGGTTATTGAAAGAAAAATGTTGTTGGAAATTGAATTTGGGATTATTATTATACAGAGGTCACTACTCAATATAAACTTCAGACCTGCCAAAATCACAATTCTGTATTCTATACCCCTTACCCTGCTGATATAAGGCGTCACATTATACAATGCCGTGGTCCACCTTTTAAACACCTCACACCATCCAACACCATACAACACCATCCCCACCAGGTCACTCGCTAATCCAGGCTTGGACCCATCAGACTCGTGAACGCGGCTTCCCCTCCGGGTCTGCCTTATTCTATTTCGTATACCCACGACAGTTGCCGGTCTTCATACGGCCCTGGTGATTTCACCTATAAATCAGTTCCCATGCCCTAACTGCCTATCATGCTTCGTCACCCCACCCCGTTATTCCCCAATATGGCGTTTTCGATTTTCCGCACAGCTCAAAGAACTCATTCGTTTCGGGTTCCAGCTCGATCAATTTTCTGTTCCCCTGCTACGGATACAGCTGGATATGGGTCAGGTCCGCCGCCATCGCGATTCGGACCCCGCCATTTTCTCTCTGTCGATGACGTCACCTCCCCCGAGTTTGAGCATTTAGTCGACCTGGCCAAGAAAGCAAAACGTGCGATTAGAGCAGGACAGACGATCCCTTCGCTCAAGGATACATTGGCAGGAAGAACCGTGGCGATGATGTTCTCCAAGCGCTCAACTAGGACCAGAGTGTCTACCGAGGCTGCCGTTGCTCACCTGGGAGGTCACCCGATGTTCCTCGGAATGGATGATATTCAACTGGGGGTTTATCTTCCTATCGCATTCCGAGTTTTACGTGATGGCTAATAGTGCCTAGGTTAACGAGTCACTTCTCGATACTTCCAAGGTTATCTCGTCCATGGTATCCTGTGTAGTTGCCCGTGTGGCGTGTCATTCCGATATTGTACAGTTATCAAAGACATCGGCTGTCCCTGTTATTAATGCCCTCTCCGATACCTTCCACCCACTCCAAGCAGTCACCGATATTTTCACAATTACAGAGTGCTTCCCGGATCCGAAAGGCATCAAGATTGCGTGGGTAGGCGACGCAAATAACGTTCTTTATGACCTTGCAATTGCATGCGGAAAGTGTGGCATCAACTTGTCAATTGCTACGCCATCCGTTTACCCAGTTCCACCAGATACCCTCCAGCTCGCGCGTAACGCCGCATATTTGTCAGGTTCATCCATTGAGACCACTCATGAGCCGGAAACTGCGGTGAAGGGGGCACATATCATTGCGACAGACACCTGGGTCTCAATGGGGCAAGAGTCTGAGAAAGCGTTAAGGCTTAAGCAATTTTCGGGATTTCAGGTATCTTCAAATCTCGCCAAGAGGGGTGGTGCGAATGGGGACTGGAAGTTCATGCACTGCTTGCCGAGGAAACCAGAGGAGGTGACCGACGAAGTATTTTATTCTCCAAGAAGCTTGGTATTCACAGAAGCAGAGAACAGGCTCTATGCAGCAATCGCCACATTGGTGGCTTTTGTCGTTAAGAGAGGGAAATTTGGAGGATAAATGGTCCCGTTGTCTCCAGTCCTCCATTGTTACTCAGCTTGTGTTTTACTGGTCCTGTAGAGATTGGAGATAACAAGCAGTAGTGCGGGGCGGAAGATTCCTGATTGCATGTCCGGTCTTGTTAGAAAAAGCCCACCTACCTTGACACCTTGCCTTCCCCTCATCTAAGGCCCGGTATGGAGTAATGAGCTAGATTGTCCATCTGTTGGGTGCGTCGCGTGGCGCGGGGGATTTGGCTCGCGACAAAATTAGTGTAAATCATGCCTACCGCAAAAACTCGCCAAACTCGCTATGCAGGTATTGGCGCTAGGGCTTGGATAGGAGCTTTTTTACCCGGAGAAATGACGGAAAATGACAATAACACCTGATTATTATTATGTCATTAAGCTTATGGAGCCAGAGGCTATGAAGCTGTAAAAGTACATGATTGTAGTGCTTCCCACTACTGGTCCCTAATTCCATCTCCTTCATCATTGTGTCCCCTGTTCACTGGGCCTTCTGCCATCCAATTTCATTCTATTCCTCTACTCGGCCTGCTGCCATCCTCCATTCTCTCCATCTCTCCACCTCTATCTCCTCCCATTCATATCCCTGTCCTCCATCATCCTCTTCCCAACTTCTATCCTTAACCCCACTACTTCCATTGCCAGAGCCCGCACACTCTGGCACTTGTCCAAGGTGCCCTCTCCTAGTTCCAACCCAACTCTTTCTCACAAAATCTCCTAAAGCCAGCAGTCCAGTCTTAGATCCAAGCACATCTGGGAGGTGGAAGTGTTGAGCAACTGATCTTAAAAGGTGTCTATGCTGTTGGTATCTGCTGCAGTATAGGATCAGGTATTCTGGTGTCTCTGGTGCTAGTAGCCTTTTGCTACAACTGCATCTGTCACAAACATTCTCATCCAATCTACTAAGATAAGGGTTGAAGTAGCTATGCCCAAGTCTAAGTTGGGTGACAGTTGCAAGTTGTGGTCAGGAGAGTTGAAAGAAGTATAGTGGAAGATGCAGGAAAGGTAGGTGGAAGTGGATGGACCTATAATGTCTGCCCTGCTTAGCTGGTTGGAACTGTGTCCAGTACTGGTGCCATGCTTTAAGGGCAGACTGCTTGATCTCTGTCTTCAATTTGGTCAGTAAGAGATAACTGTCTATATCAGGTTGGGGATACTCAGCTGCTTGTTTTGCCAGAGTGTTAGCTTCATCATTACCTTGAATACCAGTGTGGCCAGGTACCCAATGGAGATGAAGCTGTAAGTCCAGGTCAGAGGATAGAAGGTCTTTTGTAAGTTATTGAATCTGTTCAGAAATTTGTTGTCCAGGGTGGGGAGAGAGTATGTGGGAGTTGGTGATTGCTACTTAGTTGTCTGTGAAAACCCATTATATTATTATTATTATATGTCATTATCTCGCTTATGGAACCACCCTCCGCGTCCGCTACACACCTCCCGAAAGAAATTCCTTCCTATTTGGGACACCAAAAACTCCACCCTTTTCTCACCACCTCGGTCACACAAGGCAGAGTTTTCAACTCGCTTAGGCTTCACAGCCTAGCCTTGCCAACTTTTTTATTTCTTTTCATCACTTTACTCTGCCTTTCATCCTATTATTATAGGGTGACATTAGGCCAAACATCTCCCCAGTATGGAAGGGCGCTTCCAGTATGGAAGGGCGTTTCCAGTATGGAAGGGCGTTTCCAGTATGGAAGGGCGTTTCCAGTATGGAAGGGCGTTTCCAGTATGGAAGGGCGTTCCAGTATGGAAGGGCGTTTCTTTACGTGTTATTTTGTGAGTCATCCTTAGCGATGCGAGGGGCTAACTTGCTCCGATTTGAAGGACCTGCTGCTTGTTGTTTGTTTCTTTACTGTTTATGCGTTTGGAATTAAGGCTTTTTGTATGCCATACCGCGAGGTCCATGTACGTTTTTGAGCCAGAATCAATAAACATATGA